AAGAAAAGTATAATCTATCTAAAGCGGAATAATCGAAATGGGGAGATTTTCAAGATAACGCTGCTTTTACATTTGCAATTTCAGACAGTTTAGATTTAAATAAACTAAGCATCACATGCACCTAGAGGGTTATCAATGAATATAATTAAATATCATGGTTTCAATCTGTGGAGATTTTGAATTAGGAAATATTAATCATATATTTTGTTTTACGTTTCAAGATATTGGTTGAAATTAATTCAGTCCAAAAGTGGAACACAGGCTTTCAAGTTTTCAACGAGAAAACTACAGTGAATATTTTGGTAACTTTTTTGTAGGCCATCTTGATACCCAAAGTTTAATGGCAAGAACTGGCTGTGGTAATGTTATTAATAGTAAAAAATTCATACGTTTTTGTTTGTTTGTTTGTTTTTTGAATTTCGCGCAAAGCTACACGAGGGCTATCTGCGCTAGCCCTAATTTAGCAGTGTAAGACTAGAGGGAAGGCAGCTAGTCATCATCACCCACCGCCAACTTTTGGGCTACTCTTTTACCAACGGATAGTGGGATTGACCGTCACATTATAACGCCCCCACGGCTGAAAGGGCGAACATGTTTGGTGGGACGGGGATTCGAACCCGCGACCCGCAGATTGCGGGTCGAGCTCCTTAACTACTTGGCCATACCGGGCCCTCATACGTTTTTTTCCTGTTTTATCCACTTGCACCACAATACAGTAGTGTGTTGTCTGTCAGTCAGTCAATATATATATACTTAAGTGACGTCATATAAGGGACACTTAACGGTGTAATTTGTACTGTCGTGATGTCAGTGAAACGTGCGCATGCCATGAATCACGAGAATAATTATGCACTCTGTAGGCTACAACACAGCATGATATATGAACTTCAGAAGCAATAAATATAAATATTTGTTACTCTTAATTTTGGATTTATTTACCCTTGAAACATAACACTTTCGGAAGTACATCTAGTTTTATTACAGTGTCAGCTAACTGCCTGTAAGCGAAACATATGACTCCCAATGGAAAGGTATTTGTTAGAATAAGAGTGATTAACACAATATACAAGATCTGTAACAAGGCTTAAGAAACATAGTGTTACTTTGGATCCAGTTATAATGTTTGACTAATTGAGGAAACATTTTTATGTTTTATATCGTTTTATAGAATGCATAATTTATTCTGCAATATATAAACCTAAACTAATCTCAGGAATGGCTTAAGCCACCACTATGCAACTAATTGACTTATACTTGTAACACAACTATGCAACAAGGACTGCAATTATCCAAGTAAATATGCTCCATAGTTGTAAGTCTCGACTGGTTGCACTATTGTGAATCAAACTGCCCATTAAATCAACTTTAAGTGTGAGTGAATAGGTATTCATAAACACATATTAGCTGTTTTTTTTAAGTTAAATTTTCAGGATAAATGCGTATAGTTTTCTGGTATAAAACGTCCTCCTCCAGTGGCAAAGCGGTAAGTCTCAACGCTTAGAACGCTAAAAACCGGGTTTCGATACCTGTGGTGGGCACAGCGCAGATAGCCTATTATGTAGCTTTATGCTCAACAACAAACAAACAAGTAAATATATATAAGTTAGTTAAGAAATTCTCAGTTGTTCAAAGAGTTGAAACATAGTTAACTCATGCATGGTTTTGGTTTCGATTCTTAATTCATTAGTTTAACACCAGGATCCAATAAGTTGTTAGGTTGTGTGTTGACTCGGTTTTTACCACTAATCAGATAGCTTTTAACAAGTTTACATTTATTAAGTTATTAATTGGGCACTAACCATTTACATTGCTTATATAAATATTAATGTTTATTATCAGGCTAACAGAGTCGCTGTTTGATATAAAGTGGTACCAAGCTTAACGAATTAATAATTATTTTATCGTTAAATTAATTATATCAGACTCCGTCCAGTGTGACGCATTGTGTCCAAAAAACGCTATACATCAAATAACTGGCATTATTGACATACAAACTGATAGCAAGTAAGTTGTAATTACTTATAATATGTATAAATGGTTACACATAAAGGTTATATTCCGCAGTTTCGTTGGAAGTATTTCTGCACGACGAACCCATTCCTGTCTGTTTCCAGGTGTTTTTGAAAGTTGTTTGAAGACTTCTTTAATATCAGAAACAGTTGTTTTTGTCATTAACGTTATCTATTTTTTAAAACATAAAGATTGATGAATTTTAACCGTACTATTTATTTTCGGAAACGATTCTTAAAGACCGAAATTTTTGTAGTCATTAGCAAGTCTTTTTAATTTCCATCTTTAGTTTGACAACAAGGGTCTGTGCTTTGTTAGACTTTGTTAGCGTTGTTTATATATTACGGAGTTTCGGGTAAGAAACAAAACGAATGGGTTGACACAGACACATCTGTTACCAAATATCGATCTTCGTCACGAGATATTGGTTGTCTCGTTAATACTGACATGAGATGAGTAACCGAAGAACGCCTCTGTTTTCTGTGTTATTATAATGAAGCAGCAAACTTTACGTAAGCCTAGTTAGTTGTATATTAACGAGGATTACAGTTAAAAATAACATCAAATAGTACACGTCTTAATCCTAGAAAGAAGTATTACTGTTACGTAACCTTTAGGATTTAGGTTGAACATCTGATTACACGTTGTTTCAAGCGGAGCACTAAAGAATACAGGGGGGGGGGGATCGAGGGATAAAAAAATAGAACATCCGCTGTAAAAAACACGAGGTCTTAATGAGGAAACTGAATGCAAATCTCTCGTGTTTTGGTTGTACAGTACATACGCTGTTCACGGATATATAATACAATTAAAATAATAAGAAAGCCGGATTCCAAAAGGTGAAACAGAATTGACTGCGTTCTTGAGTAGGATTTGAAACATGACGGAGCTGCGATTGTTTCTAGTGCTAATATTAATGCTAGAAACCGGGTTTGGATACCCATGGTGGGCAGAGCACAGATAGTCTTTGTCTTTGAGCTTGATAACAAACCACAGATAATATTGCATCAACTTTAATTTGATTTTTTTTATTGGCATTTCTCACATCCACGCGTTTCGATTCCAAATCCGATAGGTGGAGCTACTTATGACTTTGCCCTTCATTATAGCACTTCAGGTTCTTGCGCTAAAGGGGTTCTGGGGTGGGCCGTGCACCCTCAAATTTCACTCTGGCCCACCCAACTTCATATGCCCTAGCGGCCTTAAAAAAATATATTATCAATGTCAGTTGACAACAAAGTCTTCCTTTTGCCTATAAATCGTTGTTTGCCAACCTATTATTGTCTGTTTTTCTTTTTAATTGCCCCCCCCCCCAGTGTCACAGTGGTATGTTTGCGGACTTACAACGCTAGAATCAGGGTTTCGATACCTGTGGTGGATCGAGCACAGACAGCCCAGTGTGTAGCTTTGTGCTTAATCACAAACAAATCTTTTTAATCAAATATATGCGTAAATTTAATTATCCCTCACGACTAACGTGCGTCAATTCACTGTTTGTACAGCCTTGCACACAGTTGGTAAACGATAAGTTTTCGGACTTATAAAGCTAAGATCCTGGGTTCGATTCCTCGCAGTGAACAGAGCGCAGATAGCCAAGTGTGTAGCTCTGAACTAAAAAACAATGATTACAGTGTATTTATCCTAGTGAAAAAAAAACGTATCAGAATAAATACTAATACTAGAACCAATCATTAGTTGTAGACATTTACAATAAATTGTTTTCAAGTTGTAAATTTGTGAAACATATTTTAAAACAGTGGTAAAATGAATCTAAGTTATAGACAATTATATAAAAATTATATAAAACTTCTGAGAAAAATATGGTCTCTGTATAATGTACTTTCTGTGCACTTTTACGTTTTTATAGTTTAATAAACTGACCATTTTTCTGCACGTCGTGGCTGTCCTCTTTGATACTACAATTATGGTTTAATTTTCTACGTTGGTCTTTATGTACCTGATCTACAACGTCAGTTAACAATGCATAATTTCGGAAATTATTTATCAAAATAGTTTTCCTCCCAAGTTGTTCAGCGGTAAGTATTAACGCATATGTTTCTAATAACCGGGTTTCGATATTCGTTATGGGCACAGCACAGATAGTCCATTGTGTAGCTTTGTGCTTAACAATAAAAACAAAT